CACCCTTCCTATCACTCCTCCCTTCGCTTATCTTTAATTCATTCACCTATTAATAATAATAGCGGGAACATCCCTTTCAATTTCCATTTTTAAACATGTATTGTAATTATAAAGTTAAAACGAATGAAACTTAATTATATAGATATTCTACAGTGCCCGCCGTACATTTTAAATGGGCACAATTTAAATTATAAATAATAATAATAATAATAATAATAATAATAATAATAATAATAATAATAATTTGACTGAAATCTCAGTAGTAAACGCTGAACATCCAACGAGTAAATCACAATAACAGCAGTAACAACAAAAATAACAACAATAACAACAACAATAATAATAATTTGCCTGATAACTAAGCAGATACAGCAAAGATCTAACAAAACGATCACAACAACAACAAAGAAAATTACAACAACGACGATAATAACAACAACAATTAATAATAATAATAACATATAATAATAATAAATAATAATATAATATAATTATAACCATCTTAAGCCGGATATCCCAACAGCTCCTGACCAAATCCCTGAGAAGTGAGCATGTTTCAGATGACAGGGGTTTCTCCAAGCAGGCCAGCAAACTGTACAACCACTGGCCCTGATGGAAAAAAATTATGATTAATTATAATAATTATGCTATAATAATATTGAGAGTAAAAATGGTAGTGGTACTAGTATTAGTAGTAGTTGGAGTAGTAGTAGTAGTAGCAGCAGCAGCAGCAATTAATAGTAGCTTAGGTAGCAGTAGTAATAGCGGTAGTAATAGTGGAAATAGTAGTAGTAGTAGTAGTATTAGTAGTAGTATTGGTAGTAGCAGCAGCAGCAATTAGTAGTAGCTGAGGTAGTAGTAGTGGTAATAGCGGTAGTAATGGTGGCAATAGTAGTAGTAGTAGTGGTAGTAGCAGCAGCAGCAATTAGTAGAAGCTGAGGTAGTAGTAGTAGTAGTAGCGGTAGTAATAGTGGCAATAGTAGTAGTAGTATTAGTAGTAGTAGCAGCAGCAGCAGTAATTAGTAATAGCTGAGGTAGTAGTAGTAGCGGAAGTAATAGTGGCAATAGTAGTAGTAGTAGCAGTAGTAGTAGTGGTAGTAGTAACAAAAAGTAGTAATAGAACTATTGAAGTAAATAATTAAAAAAATTATTTTTAAATACAATAATGAAGATACTATCAAAGGTAAAGATAGTAATGATAGTAATAATGGTAAAAGAAGTAGCAGCAGCAACAGCAGTGGCAGCAGCAGCAGTATTAGTAGCAGCAGTAGTAGTAGTAGTAACAGCAGTAGTAGTAGCAGCAGAAGTAACATTAATAGAGGTAGCTGTAGAAGTAGTAGTGATAATGCTATTACTAATTAACAAGATCTAAACGATTTATGAAGATAATTATAATGATAATTATTATTTTTATTATTAGTTATATTATTATAATTATTGTTGTTGTTGTTACCATAATTTTGTTGAAGGCATTTGGCTTTAATGTCATCCACTCAAGATGGTATTCTATCAGAGTTAACACGTGTGGCTTTGAAAAAATTATGACATGAAAAATAATAATTATTAATAATTATAAATAATAAAAAAAATAATATAAAATAAAATATATAATACCAAACATAATCATCATTATCATGATCGCTATTTATTATTATTAATTATAAATAAAAATATTAATATCAAACATTATCATCATTATCATGATCACAAGCATCATCACCAACATCTAAGAAAGAGCGATAATATAAATTATTACTCATTTAATTATAACATAATTATTATCCACATAATTATTGATATTGTGTGATGGTTTTGAAGACACCTGGTCCCAGTGTTGTTGCGCTAACTAACCTTTTTCAATCTTTTATTATAACCAGAATTATAATTATCAATAATTATAATATAATTGATTGATTGATTATAATTATAATTGATTGATTGATAGAAATAATTAACTTTAAGAAATATACAGCTGGTAAAAAACCTGCTTAAAGTGACTGATAATGCTAAGGAGTGGCGGATGTGGTGCTGCTACTGATGCTGTAGTCGCTGCTACAGTAGCTGCAGAAGTTGCCACTACTTCTGCAGCTGCTGAGGTTGCTTCTACTGCTGCAGCCGCTGAAGTTGCTTCTACAGCTGCTGCTGCTGATGTCGTCGTTGGATTACCACCATAGCAAAAATTCCACCATCCACTGACTGAATTGATGTTAGGCTGGTAAAATAGGATTTTATAATTATTATTATTATTTTTAATAAAAACACTAATAATAATATAAATAATTACCAGAGAAGACTTTTTAACTTTAGGCTTTTTCTTGCCTTTATAAGCCGAAAGATTCTGAAATAAAATAATTAAGCAAAAAAAAACCATTAAAAAAGAATTTATTAATAAATAAAATTACGAATTATACAAAATATTATATATATATATATATATTCATAATAATTGCAATAAATGATTGACTGGATTATTTAATTAATCAATTAATTGCGTTAATTATACTATAATTATATTATAATCATCATATTTAAATAATATTATCATCACAATTATATGCTAGAACAATTAGATGAGAACTAAACTATACTATACTTACATTATACATCAAGGCAATGTGGAAATAATTTTCATTAAAATTACTATAATATAATATTATATTACAATAATTAATATTATATTATAATATAATATTAATTGTAAAATTCTCACGGCATAATTTACCTAACAACGTAATTAACATAATTTGAAAAACCAATAAAACTAGAAGAAATACATTTGTGAAAATTTTAACATAATTATATCATAATCATTATTAGCTTAATAATTTTCATTTATTATAGTTATAATATAAAATTAATTATAGTTTCTCACGACATAATTTACCAATCTTAGTTAAAAAATTTGGAAGAACATTTTTTTTCTCTCTCCCAAGCCTATAAGATTACCAACAGCTTCATCATAATTTTACCATAATAATTATTATTACCATAATAATAATTAATATTATCATAATAATAATCATTATTATCATAATTATTATTATTATTATTATATTATAATATATTTTTAATTATAATTCTCCTCCGGCATAATTCACCAATCTTAGTTGAGAGAATTCAAAGCATTGCTGCTGTTGCCAAGTCGAAGTCGGGAGGAAACCTTTGAGGACTTTGTGCTGTTCGTTTCGTCGGCTCGTCTGGTCTGAGAGCTTCTGTAATTGTTCCCGCTAAAATTATGACCATAATATTATAATTATGATCATAATATAGTTATAATATTATAATTATTATTGCAATATGATTGTATTATCAGTCAATCTTCTTTAATAGTCTCCATATCGTACGATGGTGGAAGAAACCATGGACTACACATCAACAGCAGTAAGACAAAGATAATGATTTTGGAAGCAGGTGGAAACAATGATGAATTCCAGATAGGAGCAGAAAAGCTCGAACAAGTGAACCAATTTATATATCTGGGCAGCCTCATAACTGATGACAATAATTGTTTGAAAGAAATTGATAGAAGAATAGCAATCGCGAGAGGAATGTTTGCATCTTTGAAAGTAATATTGAAAAACGGTAATGTATCTACAAAAACAAAGGTAAAGATCGTAGAAGCGTGTGTGTTTTCTACATTGATGTATGCATGTGAGGCTTGGACGTTGAAGAAAAGAGACAAAGACAAACTGGAAGCATTCGAGATGCATTGTTATAGAAAGTTGCTGGGAATCAGTTGGAGACAAAAGATAAGAAACGAAGCCATAAGAAAACAACTTGGAAGACAAAAAACTGTGTATGAAAGTGTCAAGGAAAGAAAGCTGGGTATCTTTGGGCACATCTGCAGAATGACAGACGACAGACTGATCAAAAAAGTACTGATGAGAAAGAGGGACTGGAAGAAAAAAGTTGGAAGACCTGTGAGGAAGTGGATGGATGATATCACGGAATGGACGGGGGTTGGAACATTGAGCTCAATGAAGATGGCGAGGGAAAGAAAAGGATTTTGGAGAGATAGAAGAATACCATCGGCCTCAACGGTCCCTTAAGGGATTACAGAGGATCATTGAATGAAAATGGAAGTCGTTATGGGTCGGATTATGATGATATTAAAATTATGATAATTATATTATAATTTTATTTATAATATAATCATATTATTATAGTTCTGGTTATAATATAATTAGGGTATCGTTAATATAGTACAACTGTCTATTTTAATTGTTATATAATAAAATTTACTGTTGGTAACGTTACATCAAGCAATCTTAAAGTTATAGAATTTTATCTTTAAATTGTGATAAATTTGATAAATGTATTGTTTTCAGTTAAATAATAATTATGTTAAATAATAATTATTAGTATAATTTAAGTTTCACATAGTAATAATAATAATGATGATAATAATAATAATAAAAAAATATAATAAAAAAAATAAAATACCCAAGAATGTGTGATTAAATTTTTTGTATTATTTAATGGAGTCTTCACACATTTAAAGTCTTCTAATCTATTCTTCTCCAGACTAAAAATAGAAAAAAAAATCATCATTATAATAAACTATACGACAAATAAACAGACAAACAAACAAATTAATAAACAAATAAATAAACAAATAGATAAACTAGAATATAGGGTTTGACTGAAAGAATGCAAATTAACATAACAACATTTGCCAGGAGAATATGCAGAGAAGATCTGGATTCAGACATACAAGTTAAAAACTGTTCAACAGGTTCTTTCAACTAGAAAAAAAGAATTATGAGGTGATAGATACAAGCTCTTCAAGAAGACAGAAAATCCAACAAAGCAAAGGTTCAATGCAAAGGTTCAATGAAAAGGTTCAACAAAGCAAAGCAAAGCAGCAATGTGGCAAACACCTGGAACTATGAGACTGTCTGAGTAGATTCGATCAACAATTTTAAAATCAAGCTAGGAGAGCTAGAACACTAGGAAATTTATTTTGTAGTGGTTCTTACACAGATGCTAGTTTACTGAACCACATTAAATTTTGTTATTATTATTATAAATAAGTGAATAACGTATTATTGTTTAAAAATGACTTTTTAGTTTATTCTTTTGTGGTAGTTTATTTATTTATTACAAGCAATCTAGTAATAATAATAATTAAACTAAAGTAGTAGAATAAAAGTGGTTTAGTAAACTAGCCTCTGTGTAAAAACCACTACAAAATAAATGTCCTAACTTGATTTTAAAATCCACTGAAACAATTAAGAAAAAATAATTTGAAATGATAGAAAGAAATGGCGGCCCACATCACTCTCTGGAGATACTCATAACCGGAAGTGGGGATGGAAGATTCGTCTACATCACTGTCACTGGCCGTCAGGACGGGAAATGCCTGAACGAGTAGGTCGTCACAGATATCATTCTCCACGAAATAGTTTGACATTTCGCTAACCTAAAAGTCAAAAAAATATTATTGCTAAATGAAATATATAAATTCAATAATAACTTAGTATTTTAGTTCATTAAAAATCTTTTTTTTAGTAAATGATTCAACTTACTTGAATGAATTTTAAATTTGGGAACGTAACTATGGCGAAAAGTGAATCTAAATGTTAACGTGAGGTAAGTAAGACATGAAACCAAGGGAAGGCCCATTTACCAATATACAACACCTTACTACTACTACTTTTACTGTTGCTACTACTACTACAATTACTACAACAACAACTACTGCAACTAATACTGCTACTACAACAACAACTACTACTGCTGTTGCTACTACCACTACTACTACTACTATTACTGTTGCTACAACTACTACTATTACTACTACTACAACTACTACAACAACAACTATTACAACTACTTCTACAAAAATAACTACTACTACTACTACAAAAACAACAACAACTACTACTACTACTACTACTACTACAGCTACTACTACTACTACTACTACAGCTACTACTACAACTGTTACTGCTATTACTACTAATGTTAACAATAATTAATCAGGGTATAATACCCAAAAGCCGAAAGGAGTCAAACTATGGAAACGATTTTAGCGACTGCAGTTCGATGAACGTCACGAGAATGAGGTTGGGCGATTTTAATTCGAAGAAGAAACATAAACATCAACAATAACACAATAAAAATATAAACACAACTGCACACCCACACACGCACGCACATACAAACCCACACACATACACTCATACACACACAAACACATACACACAAGCAATACACACACACACATACACTCACACACGCACACACACACCTATTACACACAACCATACACACAC